GTGCGTATAACAGATTTTATTCGGATCGTGACGCAAAACAAGAGAAGTAAAACGATTTTGTGCACAAAACTCGAACTTAAATCATTTTCCCTTGACCTTCCCTTTCAGTTGCTTATTATCTCGATATTTCAAACTGTTAGTTTTCTTGTTTCCCCTTTAGAGAGTTATATAAAGCGGGGTTCAACTGTAGATTAATTCTGGAATGCTGATTAGTAGAAGTTTTCCAGAAGGTTAATAACGCTCTCCTCGTACACAGGAGACAATCATGAAAACCAAACAAGAAATGCTTACCATCCTGTCTGTGGCCACGTAACATCTTTGAATCCACCATGATCTGTGTTGCTATGTAAGACTGAAAGTACATGAAAGACAAATTAGTTTACTACACGTCCCATTTTCCCCGCGGTTATTACTAATTTTCTTCACCACATAAGACGATGGATAGTCAAAGGCCCTATTGTTCCGTGACAGTTTCACAGAACGTTAATGAAATACTTTTTTTTGCCTCGTTCTACTCATTGCTGATGAATGGAGTCAACACTGCAAATGGCTAAAAAAAAATGCGCCTTTGCCAAAAAAAAAAAAAAAAAAAAATCGTGGAATTGCTTTCTACTATGATAATTAATCTTTTTGATTTTAAAACAAATTCTTGTACAAGCTATTGCCCTCCAAACAAAAAAAATCCATGCACGACTTGAGGGTGTGAAAAAGATTTCATGCTCCAGAAAAATTGGTCAAACCCCCCACCCCACCTCCCTCAAAAAATAATGGTCCGTCCCTAATCAGCATCTGTTATTTTTGGCAGAGTAGTTTTCAACTGACTATTTCAAAAGCAAAGTCATCATTATCATAGCGGAATTTGCTTGTTTTTGCTTACCATTTTGATAGAAAAGCCGCCTCTTTTGCACACCTTTTATTGACCAGAAGTATCATCATCATCATAAACTTTATTAATGTGTCTTAACATCTAGNAAAAAAAAAAAAAAAAATCGTGGAAGCAAGTTAAAGAACCAAGGAATCCAATCCAGCTACTTGAAGACGATGAACATACAACACAAAACAAGACAAGGAAAAACTTGTCTTACAGGACATAGCCTGGATTGTCAGCAGTCTCTTCTACATGTATTGAGTATTAAAGTAGCCTGAATGTTTGTCTACCTGAATTTGCTCCATAACATCGTCACGCATTTCTTCCGCCATACGGTACCTGTTGAAGACAATTGAATTTCAATACATTAATAAACCTGCTTGAGGGTATAAAAGAGTAAAAACGTGTAGACGAACACTATATCAAGATGGACAGAATAACGTACTAATCAATATTTTGCGTTGCGTGATACAGCAGACGCAAATCTGTCTACATTTGCGCAGGCCAGATACTAACTGAAAACTAAAACAAAACATCACATGGAAGACAAAATAAAAAGCCATTTACTTACACATCGTGATCAGCGCTGTTATACATTAGAGCATTCTGAAACATTAACATCATGTCTCTTTGGAACTCGCTTGTGGTACGAATGGTCTGAAACAACAGAATATTGCAATTATTATCTCTGAAGACAAGAGAAAAAGACTTATTTTTACCACAATTGCTGCTAATCTCGCAATCTGATAAGGTAATTTGCCGTTGTCGATAGGAGTCCATACCACGCTGCTCGCATCAATGTGTCGCGCAATGCCTTTTTCAGCTCGCGCTCTCAAAAAACATTTTCTTTGACGTTGATATTGTGGAAAAAAACAAATCGAAATGTGGTTTAGCGTGGTCTGTACTCTTATCGACAACGAGAACGCGTCATTACTCTTTTCCCACACATATTTTTCTTATTGTTTCTGCATGTTGAGCGAGTTTGCAAAAGTTTTTGAAAGGAAAGTCTGACGCGTACAAGTAGCTCATTTACATAGTGCAGCGCGTGCACTTTCAAGTCCGAGTCGGTGTTTTCAATTGTGAACAAATCTTGACAAAGATCTCTTTCGTTATCTTTGATGTTGTGGTAAGAAACAAATCGAATGTGGTTTAGCGTGGTCTGTACTCTTATCGACAACGAGTACGCGTCATCACAGTGGTCAAAATTTGGTGGACGCACTCTGCTGCGCCTCGTGAGTCCAAACCTTCTTGACCACTGTAATAACGCGTACTCGTTGTCGATAAGAGTACCGACCACGCTAAACAACATTCGATTTGTAAATCAGACTGAAAATTTACGGGATGTTACTTACTCCATTTTCAATGTTCTTTTTTATTGTCAATAGATCCATAGGTCTGCAGGAGAACAAGGCAAACACGTCATCTTAATTAGCGGTGGCAGTTCTCATTGCAGAGTATTTCTAAGCTCGCATAAGATTGATTTGCGAAGCATGTCTTTTTATCACATAAACAGAAGCCTGTACTATCTGTTAAATCTACCGATCACAAGCACTGTCCGATTCTCACTGTCCAATAACAAACACTAAGACAACGAGAGCATCGAGGAAATAGACCATATTCGTATTCTCGGTATTAGACTGAAACTAGCTTGCAACCGAGGCTAATGCGGGGAGTCTTTTCAAATGCAAATGACATTTATCTCTTTTTAATGATATTCCACCCCATGAGCCTCTATTGCAAGCTAGTTCCAGTCCAATACCGAGAATACGAATATGGCCTATTGTCAAATTTGATTGTCGCCGTATCTAGATATGTTGGTAGCCTAACAACAGCCCTGCCCACCCCTGCTACGTAAAACATTGGACTTAATTATTCTTAATCATTCTGCCCATTGTTCTCGGAGGGTACGCTTAATCGTTGTTTTCGAAGACGGAAAATAGCCTCAAGACTTGTTCTAAACGACCAAGAGACACTGACATTTGGTAAACTTACTAACTTTTAGGTGCTCTCTTTATGTACCACGCTCATTTTTTTCAAATTAATCGTACTCAGTCCCTTGCTCGTTTAGAACATGGCCAGTTGAACACAAAAAAGAACCTTGAGAAAGGTTGTACTCAGGGCTATTGAGCTGACCTGAAAACAATGCTGTGATATCCTGGTGCTTCATCGTCAGTCACTGGATGCAGGAATACGTTAGCGTACCTGAAAAACACAAGTAGTAGAAATAACTGTAAAACGTTTTCGGTATTGACAGGGAAAATAATACTATACTTGGCCTTACTGACGTGACCGTGGCGGAAAGAAACTACTAAGGTGGTAAGAGTACGAACTGCTCACAAGCAACTTCTAAAAGCTTCACGTAAGTAGATCCAGCCTAAGAAACTGGTATGGAAATTAACGTACACTAGGAAACGTGTGTGCTGGAAGCCCGCTGGCCGAATGGTCAGCAGCGCACAGGACTCCGGATGGAGAGGTCCCGCGTTCTAGTCCTAGCCGGGGTCACCGTATCGTGTTCTCGGACAAGGTGCTTTACTCTAACAGGACCGGGTACTGGCGAATTGTTTGGGCAAACTAACAGAATACTGGGGAATAACCTACAATGGACCAACATCCAATCCGGGGGGGGGGGGGGGGGGGGGGGCTTGTGTAAAAGCGCAGGTCAGAAGATATGACGGATCTCTCAACTATCTCCAATACACAGAATCTTGCAAAATGTTGCGAGCTTGTGGATGTGTGAATTTGTTTCTTAAAGGAGACCCCATAGACCCAATTTATAAATGGCTCCTAATTGAAAATTATTTTGTAAGTATTAAAATTAGCTCAACTAAACTAGTTTTTGAGTTGATAATTAACGAATTTCTACTCTCAAACGAGGTTAAATGGGCTTATTTAAATGCATACAAAAGAATTTTAAATTGGCAGCCATTTCTGAATATGGTCTATACCGTAAGGAAGCACATTAGAAATAAATTATAACCCCTGTTTAGTGAACAAACATTAGTGCTTTAAAAAATTTTTACCGGGGCAAT